CTCTTGATTACATATGGCTGCAAAATAAAATTATGATAAAATTAAAATTAATACAGATTGGGAAGAAATCATGGATAAAGTTTGCAATACACAACAAAGGAAATGTAAAAGCTGGGAAACACTGAACTGCTGAATTTATCGTTAAAAAAATAATTCCAAAATAGAACAAAATGCATTAAAAACAAAAAATTTTAAAACAAAATTGCATGAAAAAAGTGTTTAAGTTTCAAAACTTAAGGAAAAATTACAAGTCAGCATAGAACCTTACACTTAACCTGAGGGTTAGAGTAAGGATAAAACTTCTTACTGTTGCTTATTGCTAAGTTAAAATTACAGAAATCAATGATGTCAACACTGGTTAACTTATTTAGAGAAAGGTCAAGAGTTCAGGCTTCACTGTAGGCTGGTGAATTGTTAAAATTCATATTCCAACCATTCATTGTAGTTTCTCATGCTATCAATACATAGTTGAATATGCAGAGTTTACAGATTGCACTTTGCTGAAGCAATTTTGCTGGGCCTTTGTATCATGTTCAACACAACTGCTGTTGCATGTATACCTACAAACAGTGGTTGAGTGCTGATATCGCTGCCTGGTTCTTAGGTATCATGAGAACAGCACTCCAATTGAAACTTTACAGAGTGGCACAAGAAAGAAGAAGGACAATTGCATCCCTGTTGCAAGCAGTGTACAATTGTATTGCTGCAGCAGAAGCCTTACTAAAATTAAAGTGCACATGGGATATGGTATCACCTACATTGTTGCCTGTGTTGTTGGCAACTACAAGAGTTGTTGACCTCTCTTTCTTGGCCCTAGGTAGCATGGCAGTGACCAGCACTCTAGTTTCAAAATTTATATGTGTGTGACAAAAAGCGAGATTTAGGGCTATGAACTAAGACAAACTCTGAACTTTTTGTTACACAGCATGAGAGGAAAATCTGTCTTATTTTTGAAAAATCTTGAATTTTCAAACTATGACAACAAGAAAAATATCACTACTTAACTCTTTCAATTTTCTCTGTTGTATACTACAATCACCAATGATGTCTACTCTTTTGAACTGACTTTGTGCTTTGCATGAAAGACAGCCACACAAACTGCGAACTTTCTATCTGTCTCACTCTTTACTTTCATATTATTTTTTAGGTTTTTGAATTATAGATTTTGACTAATGGGATTCTATGAATGTGCTTATATATACAGATTTTGGTTGGTAGGAGATTCAAACATAATGGGTAAAAAGATATAATGTTGTGCACTTTAATTGCCAGAATTAAAAAGTTGAACTGTTAAACACATTGTGTTGCCATCCATGAGTATACATACACAACATTACTAATGCTAAGTAAAAATAAATAATTCACTACACTAAAAATGTTTGAGATAAAAAGTGATAGATAAGTACTGCCACTCTTTACTTTTAATTTGAAATCTCAAGTAGTTTGTGATGCGATCATGAAAGTTTTGAACATTATTCTACAGTGTTTTGCCTATCTCTCTGCCTTCACTACATATATAAGTTATACTTTCTCTGTTCAGGCTTGATCTTCATTACATAGGTAAGAGCAATTACTACCTTGCAGACTAATTAGTTATTTTAGAGCACATACATAGATGTTTCACATGTAAAATAAGAAGTACAATCTTTCCATAGCTATATACCCAGATGTGTTGAAGATATGTTTACAAGAACTTATGAACATAGTATGTATTTATTTATCTTGAAGTGCACTGGTGTTCTAGGTATTTAGCTATCATCAGTGGCTTACCAGCCATTATCATTCTAGATTCACTAGCTATCGCTATGTAGTATTTTGTATAAATTAAAGTTGAATGCATATATAAGATACATGAAAGAGCAACTAGATGCTCAGAAAGTAAGAATTGCAAATCCACAGGAGCTTTTAGATGCTTCCAAATATCTACTTATATCAGCTTTTTTTTACTTTTCAAACCTAGTGAATTTCAGGATACACACATATATGCTGCAGAAATTTAAATATATGCACTAGTGTGTACGTAAAACATATTTGTTCGGGATCTTTTTCACTAGGTAGCTCAAAAAGTAAGAGAGACAATTTGCTTTAGGTGGTTAATTTTCTGAATGACTCATCATCCTCAATTTTGGTCCAGCCTGACTCAGAGTGTATTCAAAGTGGTTGGTAGATTGGTCCATGGCCTTGTTGGTAATCCTGCAGAAATTTTATAAGTATATCTACTTTCTTAAACCATGCAAAGGAAATAACAACAAAAACAAAGCTGCTACATTTTTGCAACAGCCAACTCTTTCTAATGGTTTGAGCTATGTAACACGTGCATAATGCATTTTGTGCTTCTTTTGCATTTACTATGTGTATTCATTGGCCCTCTGTTTATAACATGGTACCAATGCTGGTTGAAGGACTGGTGCTCACCTGTAGAACACATTCCCTTGTTGTTTGTCTCCTCTTTCAGGTCAACTAGAGGTGCCCTGCTTCACTGCCAGTACAGGCACTGTTGAGAGTGACAGCCTGTACAACTTCCAATGTCACAAAGATGTGGCCAAAAAAAAAAAGATGAATAAAAACATCTAAGTACTGTTTATTTTATGTTTCATGTACAGTTGTGTTACGTGGTTTCAATGCTGAAAAGATGAAATTAAAGTAAAATAAAACTGAATTTAAAGATTGAAGGAAGTTGACTTACATGATCAGCAGAATGGGTAGATAAAACATTAATATGGATGAAATTTCAACAGCAAGTTGTGATTCTCTCAAAAAAGAACTGCCTTCTTTAAAGGTGAAAATGAATATCTCCAAAAGTGCAGAAATTGCATATACAAAGTATAGTCTCTCTGTAGCTGGCCAATTAGAAAAAGGATGCTGAAATGTGGAAATATCTTTGATCCATGTGGCAACCATAAGGTATCCTCCAAACACAAGGTTAAACAGGATACAATATAACTATCCAAAGAGACAGCAAGTAAGTTCCGACCAGTCAAGCTCCAAAAAAATAACACCTCAGCTGCAATTTATCATGTGACATCAACCAGGTTTAGAGAGATCCAAAATGAGAACTTTGGGAAATCATGAATTTTGTAAATAATAAATATATACTATGAGAGAGAAGATATATAGTCTCTGTATACTACATGTTCAATGACTATTTATGATCAAGTTGTTGGGATCAAAAGATGGTCAGTTAAGGTTAATTTTCTTTTAAGGTATTATAAAAAATGGTGGTTGAAAAATGACTATTTGATTTTAAACCCCTTTTTTAGGTTGTGTGTTAATAACACATTCTCCATTTTTCAGTTACAAAACAATTAATATTGTTTAATAAAATCTTCATTATTTGAACAGTACATACCCAAATATAAAAATCACAGTTGAGCATGAACAGTGATCCTGGGACCCATTGTAATAATGTAGGATAGAACTCAATGGAAAGAATTTTTACAATAATCTGGATATGAACACTTCTTACTTACACTAACACCCTAACTCTTCTCTACCTGCAGTGGTTCTCAGGGCCTCATTTTTAGCCTTGTTAATCTAAAACTTACACACTCATAAAGTGTATCACCCTGTATTATTTCGAAAATGAATATTTGCTATATTCAACATCCTGTCCGGCCTATGTAATTTTCATGGTTGTGACTTTCTGTAATCAAAACAAATACCAGTAACAATGACATGTTATAGTTTAAGAGCTGGTTATGAAAAATAAGTAATTATTATCATACTAATTTTATATTATCAAGTTTAAATTGAAAATATTATCTTTGATTCAGTGATGCCATATGTTTTATAATATCAATTTGCTTTATCCTTGCATGACATTAAGCTATTGTTAAAAGCTATCCTGCAGGAGGTAATGTGCTGAAAGTCATGCACATGACTGTGTTCACTAGTGTGGTCTCTTGTAATCTTGTATGTTGAATTGCGTCAAAAAATTGGAGGTTTTTTGGATTTTTTCTGTTTTGATAGTGAGTGATTTTAGCTATTTGTACCAATCAAACTTATTGATAATAACCTAAATTCTTTCTTTTTAATTATTAATTTAATTAATTAATTTAATCATTAATCTTTATTTTTTTACTTTCTAGATTGAAGTTAAACCAGTACCAACAGAACTAGTAACACTAGAAAAAAAATATGGTTTTGTTGAAGAAACAGGACTAGGTAAGTATAAAATAAAATATTTTTAGAGAAAACATATTCATAAGACTCTCTTTTATTACCATTAACTGAAAAGTTTATAAGTCAGAAAGTTGTACAAACTTAATGTGTTGAAATATCTTCAGGACATTAAATCAAAACTGAATAAAGTTCTATTCTGCAGTGTGGGTTTTTCATTTATTGATTTATTTCTTAACAGGAACAACTCAGCTTACTCTACAAATAATAACAGAATGTTGAATTTATATTAACTTTTCTAACACTTTTAAATTTATTTTGTATAAAATGTTGTTACTGTTTTTAGCAAAGCCTGAGCTTATCCATCGTGCTGACCTTCGATTGTCTGACATTGCACGAGGTTTGGATCAAGACTGGGTGCAGCTAGCAGACCAACTTGACGTTTCTGAATCTGAGGTGAACAATATTAAGAAAGAACAGCCCAATGATCCAGTGCAACAAGCTTTGGTGATGCTTAGGCTATGGTTACAGCAGGCTAATGAAGATGCAACTGGTGAGAAAAAAATATTTCTGATTTTTTTAATCCCATTCACTGTATAGTAATCTGTTGTAAAAATCATGTAAATTATATCAACTGCAAATAAATTAATTTTGTTATTTACAGAACAAACTTATTATTTGTTTATTGCAGTTTAAAAAATTGCAGAAGCTGAGGTTTTGAATTTATAAAGTTAATTGTTAAAAAATAAAGCTAAAATAAATCACTTAATAAATTTAGTGAATTTTAGAAATTGATAATTTGGGCTATGTATGAACTATAGATAATCAAATTAACCAATGTGTTAGTTTATCAGTACATTTCACTTTAAGATGAACAACTTTGTTTATTTATAGCAAAAGGGATCTGTGTCCCCTTCTGTTATAAATAAATATTGTTCACCTTAAGTATCATTATCCTTTTTATTGTGAAACTTTGTTTTCCTCCAAATGCATTGACTACATTTCACCTTTTATTAACCTTTACATAGATTTGATTGTTACTTTAGTACTATGAATGTTCCAGGTCCTTTTTAATAGTTTGGTTATTACTAAAGCATTGACCACAGAGGCTACAAGTAGGTACATTATGCTGATCAAGAGCTTTTATTTGTATTTATTGATGATATATATGTGTGGTTTTGATAATCCTTTTTATTAAAATTCTTAAACTGTGTGGCCTCCTTTCTATTGAGCCAAAGGAATATACCAGGTTTTAGGGTTTATATGTTTTGAAACCTTATGTATTGAAAGTGATATTAGTAAGGATAAGAAATAGATACATAAAAAAAGCACATATAAACAATAAAAAAAGTTTTATATAAAATGTATTTGATACAAGTACAGTTATAAAGTGTACTGATTTTCTTTTTATTATCATTTGTACAAATAGCCCCCCCCCCAAAAAAAAACAGCCTCACAGCATTTCTTTGCTGCAAATAAACAAAAACAAAAGTTGTCTTAGCTAACTTCCTTCATTAATGTTTTGTAACTAAAACATTTGAACATAGAAAATAAAAAATAATTTATTTTTCAATAAGTTCATAAGCAATTCATGGATGTTATTATTTTATATTACTTAATTATTCCTTAAAATGTGCTAGGAAATACTAAAGGTAAGTAAAAAAAAAGCTTAATCCCGTGTTTGACTCTGCATTACATTCTTGAACAGTAATACTCATAATACAGAGTTATAGTAAAACAATTTTTAAAATGCAAATCAGTAAGTCAAAGTGGAGTGGAATGTATCAAAATTATATTTTGACATTGCTTAGAATTTTGTAGGTAGTGTGATACCACCAAACATTTATAGCCCTTTCTGGTGCAAAATATTCATAAAATCTAATCATAAAGATATGCTCAGATGAGGATATCTCTTGGACCTAATGGTATTGAAAAAAAAGGGAATATTGATCAATTTGGGGCAGGAGGATCATCTAGAAAGAGACCTGCAACAGGTTGTACTTTGCAGGCCTATTGTCAAGATGGATGGTCATCAGGTAGAGCACGAACTGGCATGGAGATATGGACTCAAAATGTAGTGAGGCTTAAAAATTGTTTTAATACAGTGTACTTAAACACTGTACTATTTAGCATCTAAATAGAGATATTCATATAAATTCAGGAAAACAAACTTGAAATTTCCTTATTCTCAGTTATTTTAGATACCTATCTGATTAATTTTGTGCCAGTATGGTATATAAATATCAAATTTTTGTGTATTCTTGTATTCTATACTTCACATTTACAATTTAAAAAAAGAATTTTAAATTCAAATTCAGAACATACTGAACCTGTTTGAGGTCATTTGCTAAATTCAGTCTTAGGTGTTACTTTGTGTAATAGGTCCAGTCATTGAAACTATCTACTGTTTTATGAATTGTCTGTATTGTGTTCTACTTTACTTTGTACATGGGGGACTGCTTTGTGTCTGTCATATGGAGAAGAGATGTATTCAGATTTCTGTGATCCAGTTTTCTGATTGGTCATTTACAGAAAGTGATCTGTTAATTCAGTATAACATTTTCAAACAGATTTGTTTTTATTTTGAAGGAGCCATGATGTGTCAGTTTATTTCCAATATATTTAACTTGCTGATTATGTGTCTGTGTGTGCATCAACTTCTCTTATTTTAACACACTTCATTGTTAAGTAAAGTTTGTTCTTTTATTATCAGCTTATTTTATTCTAATTCAAATCCACTATGCAATAGTTGAGTCTAGGATTTACACATGTCCTTGAAATCCTTTACTTCTTTCCATACCTTGTACCCACAAAGTAGAAATCAGAGATTCCATACTATAACTTTTAATATGTTTTGTATATCTGCATGAAATTCGGCAAACATTCAGTAAACATTATAAGTCTTTTGTACACGAAATATCAAATCTTTTAACTCTCCCTCCATGGGCTTCGCTGAACCCACCAAGTTCGTGACCCCAAATTGACCTTTACAATTTCCATACTATAACTTCTAATATGTTTTTGTATCTTCACATAATTTTGCAAACTTTCAGTAATCATTAAGAGTATTTTGTAGACAAAAAAATCAGAATCTTTAATGAAGTGTTTTCACTAAGCATTTCTCTATGAATATATGGAGTCATAGTATTGACTGCTCCAAGTGCAAAGTAATTTTCATGATAAGATTAAAAATACTTTTCTTCATTTGAAAAACCTCAAATTTTATCTGTTATTTTCTCAACTCTAATTATATATGAGGTTGGTCAATATGACCAACCTTGTAACCACCAAATACAAAATTGAACTAAATTTAAATTACCCTTTTTTCTTTCTAGAATGACTTCAGATTGTAACATGAAACTACATTTGTTTATCCGAAGTCGCTTTAAAATTTGTTACAGTATATATCTGTTTCTCCTTAAATTTCATTGTTTTATTGCTCTTTGAACTGTGTCCAATTAAGCCTTTCCTCACCGGGAGGTCTTCTCTTGGTATAGTAAAGTCGTTGGGTGACAAGCAAGAAAAATCCGGTTGTGGTTGGCTTAATGCCCCCCCCCCCCCCCACACACACACACACAACAATGTGTAGCTCACTTTACCTTATTAAAATTACATAAAGTATGAGCTAATTGCAAGTGTATCTTGGAAAAAAATTTGCATTACTATTATTATTAATTTTACCTTATCTAACCTAAAAAGTTTCTAATTTTTACATTTTAGTAACTTTTATAATAATAGATAAAGAATACAGATAAAAACAAGAAATATAACACTTACCTCGGTCTTCCTTTTTTTTGCTGTAGACTATTGATGAAACTTAACTCTACTTTTTTTATACTGATGGTACTACTGCATTGAATAATTTTTTATCTAATTAAATAATGCAACAAAGAATACAGAAAAATAACACACTAAAGATTTATATGTCAATTTCTTAAGTCTACTGAGTCAGTCTCTGTGTAAAGTAATTTTCATGCTAAGAATAATAATATTTCTTTTCATATTGCAGTTTTCATATTTCATATGCATAATCTCTCTACCCTCCTAAATGAATATAAAAAGTTTCTTTTGGTAAAACTTTATACTTTTTTTTCTACCCTAATGCTATCTCTAGAGAAATCATAAGTGCACATTAAAATATAAAAGTTGCCACATTTCCTATTAATAATATTCACAGTTTCAACTCTTAATCCTTTCACATATGTTTTCTTTTAATTTTTTTGCTTTGTTGTCTGGCTTGTACCAAGTAAACAGCTTATTCATCCATTTAAAGCGGTACGTCACAGTAGAAATACATTAGCAGATTCTTGTACACCAATATACTGCATGGTGTGAAATATGTGCATTTGAATGTATAGCTAAGTAGGCCTAGTTTTTTCTTTAAGTTCACTGTCCAAACAGAAATTCATTTACTTTTCATATATGCATTTTAGAACATACAAAATGCATCATTCAGTAGAATAAAATGTCCCAAAACAACTATCATGTAACAGGCTTTCTAACTAAGCTGTAAATTGATAAAACATTTTCTATTATTGATGCGAGCAACAACTTTTTTTACATATATATTTGTCATTTCTTTCACCTAATGTCTGTTGCTGACAAATTCCAATGAACATTTACAAGTTTGATATAGAAAAATAACCCTTTCTGTTGATGATAAACATGTACATAAAATAAGAACTTGTGGTTTTGAAACCTTCCTTGAAAGCACAATAGATGCATAGGGTTTCTGTTGTAGTTTGGAAAAATATATTGTATTTCAGCAAATGGAAGAGTTAGGATATTTAAATTGTACATTTGACCTTTTTGTTATTTACAACTTGTTTTTATATTAGATACTATAGAAGATCTGTAAAACATTATGACATTTGCAATCAACCAAGACCATGCACAATGGGTTAACAGGTAACATTAGATTTACTGAGAGCAAGTAGTGGTACCCACTTGACATTTATTCAAGATTATTTTAATTCCATGTCTAAAAGCTGTAATGTTTAAGAGAGTAAAAATAGTGATTTGTAGCTTGGGGAAATAATGTCAACACTATGTCTCAAACCTTAAGATTGTTTGCCTACTTCTTGTGATTGCATTTTCACTTTAAGTTACCTATATTTTCCATATTTTTTCAAGATCCCTATTCATCTTTTTAAATTAACAACTTTTAATAACCTTGTTTCTTTAGTTTTTTATGTCCATCATAGACATAAATCTGATTAATAGCAATACTGTCCTATCTGAAACAGTTTAGTTTAATGAAATATATACTTGATGTATGATGCTCTTTCAGAAAACAATGACAGCCTTTGGATTGGCTTCATGCAGATTGGATGGCTAGTGCTCCTGATATCATTGCCACAATGTTATCATTGATAGTGGTACTGCGTGTATGATCACTATCAACATAACACATTATGTACATACTTGTAAAAAATATATATATATATATATATAGCTATTATATACCCTACAGCTATATGGAGAGTCTGTAAAAACTGGATTGGAGGTAATACTGTACTATACTGGAACGGTCATGGACTAGATTTTGTAACT